TGTCATCAGGACTAGAGCTGAAGATGAAGGCGACTTAGACACAAATTCTTGGCCTGCTCCAAATAAAGCTATTCCTGGAAAGAGAAGTGCAGTTGTAATGGGAAGAGGAAGGCGCCGAGATGACATAGCTCGAGCTTTTGTGGGCTTTGAATATGAAGACTCTCGAGGTCGAAGATTCATGTGCTCGGGACCTGACAAAATAATGAAAGTGATGGGTAGTGGGCCAAAGGAGTCAGCTTTAAAAGCCCTAAATAGTGATATGCCCTTATATATTCTGTCATCATCTCAGGGTAGAGGGCTAAAACCACATTATGCTCAACTTATGAGGCTTTTTGTTGTGGTTCCTGATGCTCCTTTGCAGATAATACTAATGCCTCAGGTAAGAAGTGCAACCCTCCCTGCCCTCAAAAAAAAAAAAATATATATATATATATATTGATGCTTATTTTAATTTTTTAAATACTATATAATATCAAAATTATGTCATTAAACAAATATTTTAAGGGCTGGAGATGTGGCTCAAGCGGTAGCGCGCTCACCTGGCATGCGTGCGGCCCGGGTTCGATCCTCAGCACCACATACAGACAAAGATGTTGTGTCCGCCAAATACTAAAAAATAAATATTAAAATTCTCTCTCTCTCTCTCCCTCTCTCTCACCCTTTCTTTAAAAAAAAATATTTTAAATATAAGTACCTTTTTTACCTTTTTTTTTTTTTTTAATACTGGGATTGAACCCAGGGGAGCTTTACAACTAAGCTATATCCCCAGTCCATTTTAGTTTTTATTTTGAGACAGGATCTTCCTAAGTTGCTTAGGATGTTGCTAAGTTGCTGAGGCTGGCCTTGAACTTGTGATCCTCCTGCCTTAGCCTCCTGAGTTATTGGGGTTACAGGCATGTGCCACCTTGCTTGGCTTAATAGTCTGTTTCTTTTTTATTTTTTAATTTTTAGTTGTAATGGACACAATACCTTTATTTAGTTAATTTTTTTAAATATATATATTTTTTAAATTGTTGATAGACCTTTATATATTTATTTTATTTATTTATTTGTGGTGCCAAGAATCAAACCCAGTGCCTCACCCATGCCAGGCAAGTGTGCTACTGCTGAGCCACAGCCCCAGTCCTAGTTTATTTTTATGTGGTGCTGAGGATTAAACCTAGGGCCTTACATGTGCTAGGCAAGCACACTACCACTGAGCCACAATTCCAGCCCTGATATTCTGTTTCTTAAAAGAGAAATTGTGGGAGCCCAGCAGAATGGATCATGCCTGTACCTACTAGGGAGGCTGAGGCAAGAGAATCACCTGAACCTAGGAGTTTGGAGCCAGCCAGGACAACATAATGAAACCTTTTCTTTTAAAAAGAAAAAAAAAATAAAAATAGAAATTGTGGCATTTTATGTTATCCATCCTTATGGTAACTGTAAAATGCTAGATATTTCAATTAGTTTATTCCATTAGTTCACATAATTTGGTTCAAAAATAGAGCTTGAAGTTAAAAACTCAGTAGAAAAATCAGGATAATATTTGAGAATAAATAATGTAATATTAAATATGAATTAGGGGTGTGTTCATATCTGCTTAATCTCTATTTATTTATTAGGTGTGTGTGCTCGGAGCTAAACCCAGGGCCTTGCACACACACGTTAAGCATGTACTCTACCACTAATCCCAGCTCCTTTCTGCCTAATCTTATATGTGATAATGGAGAGCAATAAGATTTTACCAGAGATTGAAGTGTATTCTCCCTCTTGTGCTCTTGCATTAGGGGATTTCAAGCAAAATATAAGACTTAAAAAGTATGTCTAAGTTTATTAGAAAGAAAGAAGAAAGTAATCGATGGGGGCACCCTCAAGGGAGTGAGTAGGCCCTCAGAGAGGACAGGGATGACACTTCTTTGTTTCTCAACTTTTTGTGTATGTGTGTTGGGGGAGGGCAGTGCTGGGGAATGTACTCAGGGGCACTCAACCCACTGAGCCATATCCCCAGCTTTATTTTGTATTTTATTAGAGACAGGGGTCTCACTGAGTTGCTTAGCACCTCACTTTTATTGAGGCTGGCTTTGAACTTGGTATCCTTCTGTCTTAGCCTCCCAGGCTGCTGGGATTACAGGCATGTGCCACTGCACCAGGCTGAAACTTTGATTTTGAGGCATGGTCTCACTAGGTTACTGAKACTGGACTCAAATTTGCTACCCTGACCCAAACTTCTGCATAACTGCRATTACAGGGGTGTATCAGCATATGCATCTACATCTGCCTCTTACATGGTCTTTGAACCTATCATTTGTTGGAAGTACTTATCTTTTTGGTGTTTCTTGAGAAACAAAAAATAATTATATTACTTATGTTTTTCAGGTTCAACCAGGTCCACCACCATGTCCAGTATTTTATCCAGAAAAACAAGAAATCACCCTCCCACCAGATGGCCTTTGGGTTTTGAGATTTCCTTATGCATATGTGACTGAGAGAGGACCTTGTTTCCCTCCTAAGGAAAATGTGCAGTTAATGAGCTATAAGGTGCTCCGTGGGGTTCTTAAAGCAGTGACACAATAAGAATTTTCCAGCCAGTTCAGTCCTAAACTTAAGCTGGTTTTGTTTTTACTATKTGGGGGATTCTTTTTTAAGTATGTGTACACTGTTTCCAAAACCCAAACTGTTTTGGTTATAGGAGTTCAGTATTTGGACAATAATTGTTCTACTGTTTCGTTATTTTGTTGATATTTATTTTAAATGGGGTTATTCTTGCTAATAAAAATTTGATGTTCTAGAAAAAAGCCATAAAATACATGTTGATACCTCTGTTTTCTCTTGTTTCTGTTTCACTGTCCATGATAATACATATTTCTATCATAACTGAATATTGCATAACCATGTTGAGCCAAAACTGTTTTTGCTAAAATTATATTTTAACCAGGATTATCCTTAAGACACTGCTCCAGGAAAAAAAAAAAAATTCCAGAAATTATTTCCAAAATAAGGACTGGGAACTGGGGATGTGGCTGAATTGTAGATCATTTTCCTGGCATGCAGGAGGCCCTGGGTTTGATCCCCAGTGCTGCAAATAAATAAATAAATAATAAAGTTAGGTGATGCATGATATGAAGACTGATTGCAAAAACAACACATTTGTTTGTCTCATAATTCTAATACCTAATTAGATTTTTTTTGTTCTTATTATTTCATTCTTAGACTGATAAGATCCCCCCCCCCTTTCTTTCTGATTTGGGTGATGGAACACAAGACCTGTAAGCTAGGAAGATGAACCTGTACTATTGAGCCTCATCTCCAGCCTCCCCTCTCCCAATACCATATTTCAAATTAATGTTATCTAACTAAACTTTTAATTTTGGGGGATGGGGGTACTGGGACTTGAACCCAGGGGATCTTTACCACTGAACTACATCCCCAGCTGCCCTCCCCTCTTCCCACTTTTGGAGACAGGTCGCATCCTTTTGTTTCAGCCTCCAAGGTGACTGGAATTATAGACTTGAGCTACTTCACAAGATTTAACACTTTAATCCAAGATATTATTGCATGATATTCTTCTAAAATTCCTATACAGTGAAACAGTTGGCTAAGTGATAAAATCTTATCAGTGCATGGTAACTTGTACCAGCATCAAATGGTGATTTACCATCACATCACCATCTAATTGGTGACATGTTACCAATAACTATATGAAAGACTACCAAATCTTTAGTGTAATTATCTTTTCCTAGACACGTTGATTTTGAAATGCAGGACCAATAGAATTGTCAATTTTAGTTTCAACATGTATAAAATAATAGTATTTAACACATCTTGCTACTTTTAAAGCTGTTATTATTTATATGTATATATGTGTGTGTGTGTATGTATTTCTATATAATATATATGTAAATATGTAGGACGGGCTTGGGAGGTTGAGGCAGGAGTATCGCAAATTCAAAGCCAGCCTCAGTAACTTTACCAGGCCCTAAGCAACTTGGCGAGACCGTGTCTCAAAATTWAAAAAWTAAAATAAAAAGGCCTGGGGATGTGGCTCAGAGTGGCTCAGAGGTTAAGGGCCCCTGGGTTCATTTCCTGGTACCAAAACAAACAAGACAGGAGTATCTGGGTTCAGTGGCGCTTGCCTGTAGTCCCAGCTACAGGAGGACTGCTTGACCCCAGGAGCTTGAAAAGTAAAAAATAAAACAACAAAACCCTGGGCTTTGGATTGTTTTGCATTGAAATGTTKCTATTCGTGTTTTAGTAGTTTGGAATGTGTAGAATGTAAAGGAAACTAGTAGGAGCCTTGTGGAATTTAATTCCAGCCTTTCTAGGAAGTGGTAAAACCTTGCCAAAGTTTTATTTTGGGGGGATTCTGGGTCTTGAACCCAGGGCTTTGTGCTAGCTGCGCTCTACCGTTGAGCTATATCCTCCGCCCTAAATTTCGTTATTTTAAAAGAATTTTCAGTGGCTGGGGATGTGGCTCAAGCGGTAGCGCGCTCGCCTGGCATGCGTGCGGCCCGGGTTCGACCCTCAGCGCCACATACAAAGATATTGTGTCCGCCGAGAACTCAAAAAAAAAAAAAAAAATTCTCTCTCTCTCCTCTCTCACTCTATCTTTAAAAAAATTTTTTTTCAGATCAACAAGTATTTCTTGAGTACCCACAAAGAATCGATAACAATTCATTGCATTTCCTTGAGGAGGGGCTAAGACGGCGCCCTGGAATCTTTCCCTTTTGATGTAGATTTTCCAAATACGTCAGTTTCCTGAGGATCCCCTTTGAACAACCTTTTTAGTTCTAGCTAAGGCCAAAAAAAGAAGCTGGCAGGTTTCCAAATTTTTGCCTCAGTAGGAAGCGTCTTCAAATCTCTGCGCGTTCSGCCACCTGCTAGGTGCTTGACGCTGGTCGAAGGACCTTCGCAGGCCCTTTCGTACCTGCCAGTCGGAGCGCGCCTGCGTGTGGGAGCCCCTTTGTTGCCCCGAGGATAGGGTCGGGCTGCGCCTGCGTGGTGGGCTGACACGAACAACTGCGCTACACCCTTGGCACCAGCTGGGGGCGAGCAGACCTCGAGCAGCCGCCGCCGCCGCAGCCGTTGCGATCGCAGCAGCGGGGTTCAGAGGCCCCGGAGGTGGGTGACTTCCCACTCGGTGACTGAGATGTCGTCCACCGCAGCTTTTTACCTTCTCTCCACCCTAGGAGGGTACTTGGTGACCTCATTCTTGTTGCTTAAATACCCGACTTTGCTGCACCAGAGAAAGAAGCAGCGATTCCTCAGTAAACACATCTCTCACCGTGGAGGTGAGAGGGGTCCCCAGAACCCGATGGCGGAGGTGGGGGAGGCTTTATTTCTGAAGAGAGCTGAGGCTCCTTTGGAGCTCCGCAAAAGGCAGCCGGATGGAAATCCGTGAGAGTTTGAGGAAGAACGGGGCTGTGAGACTAGAAGGCTCCTTCGGTGGCGAAGGCGGTGTAAAGGGAAGTTCTCCTGAAGGGAGGGAAGGAGGGGGGTCTCGTGGCAGAGCCCCGGCGGGGGTCTTTGGAGTGTAGCGGTGTCAGGGGTCCTCTGAGGGGAGAAAGATCAAGATGAAAATAAAGGGTAGATGGATCGTTTCTTAGCTGATGGGAGGACGATCACAAGGTCCCTTCATGGCAGCAAGGCACAAAGAGGGAAGCGCCGTGCAAATCCTGGGGTACCCATGGCGGGGAACCGGGAACAATGCTACTAGCAAGCCGATGGCTGAGCGCTTGGGGAGAGCTGGGGCCACAAGCAAGGCCGAGGATCAGCGTGTACCTGGAGCGAGATTCAACCCGGTTGTCTACGGTGCCTGAGGGCTGGTCCCATCCCCACTCATTTATAATTTAGCCCTCATAATTAAAAAGAAAAACCGAGTCCCAGATCCTGGGATATTTCCCAAGGTCACAATTAGAGCTGGGGCTGAATAGGACAGGGATATGGAGTGTCCTGGTCTCCAGGGATCCAAACCTTGCACCTATTTTTTTTTTTTTAAAGCACCACCTTGCACCCCAGAATGACACGTGGGTTTTCTAAAGACAAAATCATTTTGGTTTATGATACGAAGTGTTGTTTAAAGAAAACAAAGATTGGCTATTTTGGAAGAGTATCTTGCTTTAAGGATCCTAGGTAGCTCACCTATTGCCTAGAAAACAGGCCACATCTTTGCCTCTTCAACATTGTGTAATAATATGACTACATTGCATTTCAAGCATAATGTATAATATGTAGTGAAATTGGATTATTTTAATTGCTTTTAACTTTCCTTTAGGGATAGGTGTAACACAGGGTTAAAATTGCTTGAAATTTCAGTGTAATGGTAAATTCTAGGACTTCACAATCTAAAGAGTTGATGGCTAAATGTCATGTTACTGCTTATTTGGTTTAACTGGTTAAATTGTAGGATGACATAAATACTACTGTGCTTTTAACCATTGGAATCAAGGACCAACTTTTACTGTTCAAGTTGTTGCCTTAGAAGCATTTTCAATGGTAATAGTAGTCCAATTCTGGGGATCTGCAATATAGACTGCAGTTGTGTTTACTAATTTACAAAAGGTGTCCTTAACTAAAAACCTCAAATCAAAACCAAAACCTAGATGCTCTAAAAAGCTATCTAAGCTGTCATTATGAATGATCTTAATTATATATATTTTTTTATAGATGGATACAATGCCTCTATTTTATTTGTTTATTTTTATATGGTGCTAAGGATCGAACCCAGAGCCTCACAAATGCTAGGCAAGTGCTCTGCCACTGAGCTCCAGCCCTAACATGTATATCTTCTAAATTAAAATTAAGACCAGGGCTGGGTTGTGGCTCAGAGGCAGAGCGCTCATCTACCATGCATGAGGCACAGGGTTCGATCCCTCACCACATAAATATAAGATAAAGATATTGTGTCCACCTATAACTAAAAAATAAATATTTAAAATAAAATAAAGGTCATTTGGGCTGGGGTTGTGGCTCAGTGTAGAGCACTTGCCTAGCCCATGTGAGGCACTGGGTTCGATCCTCAGCACCACATAAAAATAAATAAAATAAAGGCATTCTGTCTATACACAACTACAAAAAATTTTTTTAAAAAGAGAAAGAAATGCATATTAATTATGCATGCTAGAACATCACAGCAATTATCAAATTCAGGATAAGCTAGATCTTAAATTCTCACTGTTGGAAATACTTATAACATATTTTCTCCCTGAATACTAAGTCATTTCAATATCCTTTTATAAAAAAATTTCCATTCGGGGGCTGGGGATGTGGCTCAAGCAGTAGCGCGCTCGCCTGGCATGCGTGTGGCCCGGGTTCGATCCTCAGCACCACATACCAACAAAGATGTTGTGTCCACCGAGAACTAAGAAAAAATAAATAAATATTAAAATTCTCTCTCTCTCTCTCTCTGTCCCCCTCTCTCTCTCACTCTCTCTTTAAAAAAAAAAAAAAGAGAGAGAGAGAGAGAGACATAGGTTGAGGCAGGTGGATTGGTTCGAGGCCAACCTCAACAATTTAATGAGATCCTCACCAACTTAGTGAGACCCTGTCTCGAAATAAAAAAATAAAAAGTGACAGGGAATGTAGCTCAGTGGTAAAGTATCCCTCGGTTCAGTCTCCAGTACCAAAAAGAGAGATAGACAGATATTCTCCTCTTTTAAAAAAAAATTATACTTCATTTATTTATTTTTATGTGGTGCTGAGAATCGAACCCAGTGCCAGGCAAGCACTCTACCACTGAGCCACAACCCAGCCCAATAGTCTTCTCTTAATTCCTTCAATTTTTGTTTTGGACACTGATGATAGCATTCACTTGTCTCTGCAAATTGCTCACATTTGTGCTTATTCTCTATTCCTTGACTGCAAATACCTAATATTTTTTGTTATCCAGATATATGGCCATTCCAGTATTGAAACATATGCACCTGGACTGGTATAACTGGAATCTCTAATGTCTACTGCTTTATGTGTACTACAAAAGCATTATGATAAAGAATTAAACCACCCGAATCAGATTCTGAATTTATTAGCAATTGGAACAAGCCTTAGTGTACTTTTCTGTAAAATGAGAACTATTTGCCTTGCTTACCTCTTTGCATTGTTATGATGACGTATATAAAAAGCACTTTTATTCATTTTTTTTTTTTAACTTAGCTACTGGGATTGAATCCAGGAGCACTCTACCACTGAGTTTACATTCCCATCCCTTCCATCCTCCAGTCTGGCCTTGAATTCCCATCCTCCTGCCTCAGCCTCCCCAATAGCTGGGAATATAGGGGTATGCCACTCTGCCCAGTTTAGAAAACACTTTTAAAACTGCTAAAAATTAGCTAGAAATGTAGCTCATGGATGCAAAAAGCTGGGTTTAATCCCCAGCACCACAAATGCAACATAAAACAAAACAGCAACAAAATCCTGTGACATTGTTTAGAAACATAAGTTAGCTTATACATTGAATTCCACAATTGAATTCTGCAGTTGATTGAGAAGGAATAATAGCACCTAAAATTGTTTTCGGAGTATTTTTTGTTGTTGTTGTTTTTTGTTTTGTTTTTTGTACTGGCGATTTAACCCAGGGGTACTTTGCCACTAATCCACATTCCCAGCCCTTTTTACTTTTTACTTTTATTTTTATTTATTTTTTAAAATATTTTTTAGTTTATAGATGGATGCAATATCTTTCTTTTGTTTATTCATTTTTATGTGGTGCTGAGGATAGAACCCAGTGCCTCACATGTTCGAGGCAAGTGCTCTGCCACTGAGCCACAATCCCAGCCCCTTTACTTTTTATTTTGAGCTAAATTGCTGAGGCTGGACTCAAACTTGCATTCCTCCTGTCTCAGCCTCCTAAGTAGCTGGGATTACAGGAGTGCACCACCACACCTGGCTGTTTTCAGAGTTTTAAGTAATGCTTTTGCCTTTTACTAAGATTGTCCTTGAAAGTGGAAAACACTCTGTTTCAAAAGTTAAATGTTGTAGGCTTTGTTACTTCTTTCAAGCATATATAATATTGCAATAGGATCTGTAATAGATTTTTTTCCCTTGCTAGACCATGAGTTCCTCACAGACAGGGATTAGATCCGTTAATTCTTGTGGCTCTAGCCTTTATACACAGCTTGGCATATAATAAAAATAACAGTTAATTGTCTGCTAATTACCTACTTAGTGCTAGATTTTTGTTGTTGTTGTTGTTGTTGTTGTTGTTTAATTGATGAAATACCAATAGGACTAGAATAGAGATGTGGCTCAGTGGTACAGCACAGAAAAGAAAAAAAAATCACATATATAAAAGAATTTCAGTAGGGCCAAAGATAAACAACTGGATTAAATGGAGGGTAGGCAGTAGTCTCAAAGACCATTTTCATCATACTATGAAGTTATTAATTTTATTAATATTCTAAGATATATTTTTCTAGCTGCATAAGTAAATTGTGTTAATTGTAAGAAATTTGGGGCTGGGATTGTGTCTCACTGAGTTAGATAGAGAAACAAGGATAGCAAGGAAATAATTTAAAGTAAACTATCTCTCTGTTAATTAGGGCTAAGTGGCCAAAGAATTAAAAAGTATCACCAACTGATCTAATCCCCTCCTTTCTTCATCTTTTAACGTTGGTCTAAAGGCAGAGTACTGTCACATTCAGGGCTTCCTACCACAGATTGATTTGGCAGGTGATAGTTTGAGAGTAAGGATTACTCTTGGACGTATTCGGCTTCTTCTGGGTTCCAGACTTTAATTGGTTATGCAAGAAGAAAATTGAGGCATCAGTTTGAGTGTCACTGGAAGTAGCATTCTGCATTTTCACCTGAAGCATGTTCCACATCACAACATTTATTCCCTTCAGCTCTTGTTCCTTCAATCTTATTGCCGGGGAACTCTTCCTCACTTGGCTCATTCATTCCTATTGATGGCTTATTAGCAACAAAGTAATTTATCATTTGCTTAATATTAATACCCTGCTTAATAAAGCACACTTTAGTAAATGAAGATGTACTTATTTTTAGTGATGGCCGTATATTTAAATATATGTTATATATACTTATATAATATGTTATATATACACCTATGTATTATGTATATGTATACTTGTCTGTATATTATATATATATACTTATATGTGTATTTTTCCCCCAATAGTGACCATATAACAAAAGGACTGGGGATGCAACTCAGTGGTAGAAGGCCCCTGGGTTCAATCCCTAGTACTGCAAAATAAATAAATAAATAAATAAGGTAAAATAAAATAAAAATTTGTTTGTATGTAGAATGGTTATTTGCAGAGGCCGAAATTGTGTA